ATTCCTGGAAAGTTCTATCAGGAAACTGACTCTGGAAAGAATCTATCTGAAATTCCTGCACTCAACATTTCCAAAGCTACACAGAATTCTGCCCTACCTGAGTCTGGATTTTCCATAGGCTGGAACTCCAATTGTGGTAGTAGTTGTGAGACTGACTGCTGAATTTGCCAGAATGGATTCATTTCCACTCATTCCACAAATATTAGCTGAGTACCTATGAGTATGCAAGACATGGTGCTAAGTGCCCAAAAAGAAGAACTTTTTTTTTTTAACCTTGGCCTCCACCTCACCACCAGGTACTTCTTCCAAGTTCAAAGAATGCCTGAGGGATAAGTTCATCTCAGTCCCTCCACATCTGGAGAGACTGGCCTTTAAAGTAAAGCGTGAAATTGCTGGAAGTCACCCTAGCACCCTCTGGGTACACACCCTGATTCCTGTCACACATCACCAGTCCGGGTTGTAGCCACCAAAGATCTCAGAGTGAGGAATGAATGTTGGCTCTGAAGGCTTAAGGCACACATGGCAGCCAGAGGGAAAGTCCTGAGCCTACAAAGTGAGGTGGCCACGAAATTGGCTACTAGAGCAGTCATTTCTTACCCATTCTGCAGTCACCACTGCACTGGTGAAAGGTATGGTTCATTCTCTCATCAGAAAAGTGCAGTCCAAGGACACATATATTTACAAATGATTTCACAGGGTTCTTAAGTTTGAAACCTCGAGTCTTGGAGTGGAAATCATTCTGTGAAAGGATGTGGCACCTGAGAGCAGTCACCTACAAGAACCCCAAGGGGCAGAGCCCAACCTCCATGCCACTCAGTCACTGCTGTGCCGCCTTCACCAGTTTGGCCCTGCGCCTCCGGGAGGAAAGCCTATGGCCAAACTCAGGGCCTAAACTGCTGAGCCCCAAAGTCCCAGACTGGGTCTGTGTGTAGTCTCTAGGACGCGCTGAGCCTGGGATCCACCATCCTGAGCCCTGTCCCTTGCTCAGCTCACTTTCCTTTGCTCTGTGCCTAAGTGCATTTGCATCCTACGAACCAAGTCTTCCATTGCTGATTCCCCCCCAGCCTTGCCAGTATACGGACCCTATACAGAGTTCTCCAGCTGGGAGCTTTTATTCCCTCGTGGCAGTACCGCATCAAGGGTTAAAAAGGAGGAATGCTGGATAAGGACATCTTGGAAGCAGGGTGTCCCCAAGCAGAGGCCACCAACCAGCAAGGGGAAGAGATGCGGCATAAGGCAGGTGTGTCCTAAAGTGCTGAAGCTTTTGGGGACCGAGGAGAGGGGTGCCCCATGGTTCGTGTCACTGACAGCACACTCGGAGCTAGTCTCTGCCTGGCTGGGGTCTCTGCCTGCCCCCACAGCCCCGTGATGCAGCCTCGCCAACCGCGTTCACAGCCCGCCCTGTGGGCGGGGGGATTTGCAGCTGGGGGCTGCCAACACACCAGCAAAGGCTGCACTTGCAGTCGCACGCGGAGAGTGTGTAGAGGCTGAGGATTGTGCACTGCACACTCAGACTCGGAGAGCCCGGCAACAGTGAGAAGCTTCTTTCTAGGCACTCCATGTGCTGAGGGCAACAAATCAGGACCTCGGACTTTCCAGGGGAGCTTGGGAGTGAAAAGATCAGGTGGAGGGGTCCTAAAACCCTCCAGTCGGAGGGGTCCAGGTGCTGCATAATTGCGTTTTAGGGTATGCACTTAAAATTGACAGTCGCTGCAGGTATGATGAGGGCAGATTGTGATCATGCTGTTTTGTGTATGGGATCCCATGAGAAGCCCAGAGAAGTTTCAAGGATTGCCTGTTTCAGAGCGATCGGCACACAGAAAGATCTAAACTCGGTTTCACTTGATAATCAGGCATGAGCTCAGTGGAAAATGGTTTTGATTCATTTTTTTCTCTTTATTTTATTCAAGAAGGTTGAGAGGATAGTCAAGGGGACTGAGAAGATCCTGACTCGCTGAAACTCCCAGTTCTCCTCCCACAGGAGGACAGGAAAAAGTAAGTGGGGACTCCAGCCCCCCCCCCCACAAAGCTAGAGACAGACAGGACCCAAGAATACCAACTGACCATCCTTCAATTTGTCCTCCATGGGCAATGGCCAGAACATTTGGGGCGCAGCCCTCAGACCACCTCGAATAGGACTATTAGGGAGTCCATGGTCCTTCTTGGGAGTGGTGGGGGTCTTAGTCTGCCAGAGGTACCCCTGTGGTGAAGGCATCCACCACACTCAGGAACATGGTCTTGTCAGGGATCTGGGTGAGGCAGGCGGAGCCCCAGTTATACTTATTACACATGCCTTCCACCATGGCGGGCATGACTGTAGGGTTCCCCAGACAGCGTGTAAGGAGCCGGAACGGGCTCCTCGGGAAGGTGATCAGGAAGTTGTTGGACATTGATCTTCTAAATTTCCTTGAGAATGAACTTCTATGGTTTGTTTGCCTTGCCCTCCAGGCAGCAGTGTTACAGGGCTTTGTGGAAGATGATCTTGTAGGACCAACTGGGGCTGGGCTTTGTGGAAGATGATCTTGTAGGACCAACTGGGGCTGGGCTCTGCATCTAGCCCTGAAGCTGTGTGCTCAGGCACCCACAGCAGGCAGGAGACATTGCTGCCGTTCCCCAGTTGTGGTGGTCGCAGCTACGCGGCAGAAGACCAGCACGGGGCGCGGGGAGGGGGTTGGCAGGGAGGTGGCGCATGAGTCCCGATGGGGATGGAGTCCAACACCGTGAGCCTCCTCACACCAAGTTATAACAGAAGATTATAAAACCAAGAGCAAAATACTCAAGCGACTATTTTAAAATCAGTATTTTCCTTCGCAACTTATATATTAGATCGTGTTCTGTGTAGCCTCAATTTAGAGAGGTTCCAGGGATAGCTGGACATAATCTAAGCAGCCCACACGCATGAATGTCTAAACTTCCTTGAATCTACTCAGTAAATCAGGGATGGACTCAGGGGGAATGGTTTTGTAGTTCACACTAGGAGAAAGAACCCGCCGCGCTGCCAGCCCACGGTGGGGAGAGAGTTTTACACACCCGATCCCCAGTCCCGAACTTCCTCCCTCACGGTGGGGCAGCACCAGGAGGTAAGATGGAAGAAAGCTGCACAGAGGCATCTTGGAAAGTCGGTGTCCCCCACACAGTGGCCACCAGATTAGAAGGGAAGGAGATGTGGTACAAGGCAGGTGTGTGCTATGAAATGCAAAGGCTTCTGGGGACTGAGGAGAGGGGTGCACCGTTGCCCGGATCACATACGACGTACCCGGGCATTATATCCGCTGTGCCTGGGAGAACCACCTCACTGGGGTCTCTGCCTGCGCTGCACAGCCCCGTGAAGTAGTCTCCCACCCACTGTGCCCGCAACACCACGCTTGCCACGGGGACCACGGCTGCCGCGGGGACCACGCTTGCCGCTTCGGCCACACTTGCCGCCACCGCCATGCTAGTGGCCCGGGGAGAGTATGTAGAGGCTGAGGCTCCTGCGCTGCACTCAGACTCAGAGATCCTGGGAACAGTAAGAAGCTTCTTTCTCAGCACTCTCGGTGTTGAGGGCGGCAAGTCAGGACCTAGGACCTCCAGGCGAGCTGGGAGTGGAAAGATCAGGTTGGAGGGGTCCTAAAACCCTCCATTTGGTGTGTCCTGGAGAGAGTGGAGGTGGTACATGAGAGAGCACGCTTACAATTGAGAGTGAGTGCAGGTATGATTTCAGCAGATCATCACCATGCCAAGTGTGCATGCGATCCCGTGAGAGAGAGACTCAGAGGCAGGCTCGCCCTGCAATTCACAGTGAACCCACGTGGATGCCCAGAGTGTCAGACCCCCTGCGCCGGCCTGTGCCCTGGGGAGTGCGCACATGTTTGGAGACAGAAATGAGTTTGTGGGAAAGCTTTGCGCGCGAGCTTTAGTATCCGCAAGGACTCTTCAGTACCTTCGAGCGTGCTCTGCTCTCTAGTGGAGGACTGAAGTATGGCAGCGGCGGGCACAAGGCTGGAATTGCACACCCCTGGGACAACTTGGCAAACAGCAGCCGGAAGCAAGGGGCAGCTGGGCAAATGGCTCCAGTAGGGTGAGGAGCCAGAGGCGATGGATGACAGGATAGGAAAAGGAAGGGCTAGAAGTCCGTTTGGAGGCTTGGGAAGCATCCGTGCCTAACACCTTCAGGCTCAGGCCCAGCAGGGCTTCCAGGTCCTCCTAACCCACATGACAGACGACCTAGCACGAATCCAGGAAGCCACACAAGGTGGGAATCTGGAAAATTGAGATTGCGATTTCACAAAATCCCTCTTTGGGCCTGAGGGCTCTTGTAAATCCCTCCCCCGCTGGGGGACAGGCACCTGGCTACTAATGACAACATGTTCTCAAGCTGGGAATATGGTCCCCATTTCAAATATGAGTACATTGAGGCGCTGAGAAGTTAATTGCCCTTGACCTTACTGCCTGGAATTGAGTTCTACTGACAAAGTTCTTGCTATCACTCCCATCTCTTGCTTCCCATGAGTTTTGCCCCTCTGTGATTCCAGCTATCGGAATCAGACACCCTGCTTGTGTCCAGAATCAATGCTGCTGCATGTTGTTAACCGTCCAAGCCTCACTTGGACAGGGGATCTAGGGTCAGACTTAGGGAGCTAGGATGCCCTGCTTCCTGGATCTTGCCCTATACGACTGCACCACTGGGGATGGAGAGGTGCCCACGTTCAAAACCCAGCGGAACTGAGCAGGTGAAATTTACCATGACGTCAAACTGCCCTCAACTTCCTGCTCATATTAAGGGTATTTCTCCTCGGTCCCCACCATCCCTCTCCCTCCCTGCACTCCCATCAATGACCTCAATGCAAATACAAGTGGGATGGTCCTGCGGAATGTTCTAGGTTCTGGACGTAAGTGGGTGACACAATCTATCGGGGTATGAGATCTGTCCTCTCATTGGTTGCTCAGAGCTCCTGGACCACCCCGGACCCAGAGCGGCGGGAATAAGAGCAGCTGCTGGTGCTGGGAGGCAGCAGAGCCACCGCTCCGCTCAAGTGTCCCTGCCGCTTCCACAGCGCCATCGCCTGACGCCAACGCTGCTGCAGCTGCCACCGCCTGGGCTCCAAGCCACCTGCTGCCTGCTGCCAGGTGAGCCCCGAGATTCCTCCTTAGCTGTGTGATTCTCTCTCTCTCTTTCTTCTTCCCTCCCTCTTCTGCATTCGTCTTTCTTGTAGCTGCTCTCCCTGCGTGTCTTAGAGTCTCTGTGCCCTTCTGTCTGGGTCTCTTCATCACAAAATCTCTGTTACTCTACGATTCATCGCAGGCTCCTGCCTCAGGTAACACTGGACAGTCTCGGTTCTGGGACTCCCTGCTTCACTCTGCACTAAGACAGGCTTCAGTCTCGCTGTTCTTGCTGCACTTGCACTCAGGACCCTGGAGCTCCACAGACACCGCACACACAGTGGGACGCGAGGGTGCTCACGGATCCTGTTTGTGCCTAGTGGTCCCTGGAAATCATTTCAGAAATTTGGCCAGCCTCAGTGGGGGGGTGGGGGGGGGCAAATAGGTCAAAACCCTAGAGGCAGGCAGCCTTGAACAGCAAGCCCCATTAGTGAGTTCTGGGAGATTTTCCCCCTGCTTTAAGTCCTAGCCCCAATTTAAGACTCTGTTAAGCTTGGTTCTTGCAGGTTCTTTGCCAGAGTGCGGAGCAGGTGAGCAATAGAATTTGTTTCTTTAGTTTCTCTAAGATTCCATTGGTAAAGATATTCGCTTTTAGCTACCTACATCCTCCCCACCCCCAACAGCACAAGGTGTGAACAAAAGCCCCACACAGGGAAGACAGCTCTGTGTTGATTATAGGAAAAGCTATTGTGACAGCATTCAGAGACTGTCCTCATTGAAAACCTGGCCAGCTGGAGATTGGGTCTGGGGTGGGGAGTACAGATGTTTATTCATTCTCCCCTCCCTACTTTGGCACTTGGAACACCTCTTTAGCATTGCTAAACAAATGCATGCTGTATTTTCACCAGACCCTCCAGTAGTCACTTCACTGATAAAAAAAAAAAAAAAAAAAAACAATGGGAAGGTAAATGGTCACTGGAAGCCATGACGCAAGGGAGTTCCAGGCAGAGGCAGGACCAGAACCCAGGTCCTTGGGCTCAGGAAAACAATTTTTTAATCAAAGATTCTAATCAATTCGTTATTGGTGAAATATACAAAAACTCACAGAAATCACAAGAGTTCCAAACTTATTTTATAAAAATAATAAAATATTTATCAATATGTACAAGAACATCAGGATTCACTCTTATCAATGGGCTCATGGAACTATGAACTGCTGTGAGGACATCATTCTTCCCTTGCAGAGAGGTACCATGGGCTTCTGGAAGTTCTCCCCATTCCTGGCTATTGGCATCCTGGTCCTGTACCAAGTGGGCATCCTCCAGGCAGCACCATTCAGGTAAGACAGCCCTGCCAGGAGCGTACTCCCTTCCCACTGCTCCTAGCATCAAACCGTTCCGTTCTCTGGTGTGCTAAAAGGTTAACAACCAGCTCTCAGGGGGGGAAAGGTATGCATGTAATCTGCATAAGGGTTTATTATACACATTTTATACTATAAAGATATTATATACAACTTAAAAACAAATAGTATATACTACACTTTATTGTAAATTTCATATAGTTTATTGAGACTTACAGGACAGTCATTGCTATTTACCAAACATTTGTATCTATAGCAAACCTATTTATCTAATTAAAGCACAATTTGACAAATGAATTGCATACTAATCTAATTTTCCACTGAATTTGTTCTTATTAGATCTGAGACCTCTTAATCTAATTTCTCACCCTTACACAAATATTTTCAGATTCAAACTAATTGTTTTATCAGTTAATCCTTAATAATAGCTAAATTTAACACTAAGCTTATAATATTCCTGAAAAATCTAACCATCACTTTCACCAACTTATATATTCTAGTTCCAGCAGTCCACGTCAAGGTCACCCTAGTGCCTGACTACTGGTGAATCAGTGTTTTTTGGAAGGACATTGGACTCGTGCTCTGTCCACTAGGATTTGGGGTGGCCATATCCTTAGGGAAAACACAGAGAACAGGAAGCCTGGCTACTGATCCAGGGGAAGTGGTAGACAGGGGCTAAGAGCCTCTATTGTGCTTGCTTCCCCTCTGTAGGTCTGCCTTGGAGAACCCACTGGAACCTGCTACACTCACTGAGGATGAAATATGCCTCCTACTGACTGCAGTGCTGAAGGACTATGTGCAAATGAAGGCCCGTGAGCTGCAGCAGGAGCAGGAGACTGAGGGTTCCAGGTGAGGCTCCCCACCCGGCTCAGCTCAGGGCAGCCCCTCCCTCCTGTCATGCCCAGGAAGGCATATCCCAGGAGGTAAGAGAGAACACAGCTGGACAGGAGGCCAGCACACTGCCATTGTTCACCTGGGCCTGGGGCCCAGCTATTCTCAGGCTCCACTGACAACAAAGGTCACACAGAGTCTATGGTTAGAGCACATGGAAAAAGATCCTTTCTGAAAGCAGTTGGGAAAGGTATGAAATCCCCCACTATGGAAATTGGGCTGGTAGTAGTGAGGGGACTTCCCAGCATTGGAGGAGTTAGGACTGGTAAGTGTGAAGCCAGCAGACAGACCACATGTATTTCAGGAAATTTTAGAAATTAGGCTTCTTGTACACCTGCATACGGCATTTGTTCACACATTTGCAAGGTGAAGCCAAAGGCTTTGCAGAGGGTGGGCTTGGGTAGAGCAGCGTCTGAGGTAGGTCTGGGTCTTTATTGTGTAGGATCTGTGGAGATGCGCATGTTGTCATGGGGCCAGACACCCTTCCCCAGCCTCACCTCCCCGTGTCCCCTGAGCTTGGAGCACACACCAGCCCCGGGCCTGGCTATGGCCCCATGGGTCAGAGGCATGTGATGCACATGCAGCTACCCCAAGAATCTCAGTGCAGCATGAGGACTGACATAATGCAGCATGAGGAATGCTAGAAAAGGCTACCCCTTCCGCACTGCAGCCCTTCCCCACCTTGCCTTGGCTCAGCAAACCTCTAGGTTCTCCAAATGGAGGATGTGTGAGCTGCCCTGCTGCCTGCCCCTCCCGCCTCTGCTCGAAGTGCCCCCTCCCTGGTCTCACCTTCTGTGTGATAGCCACAGGGGCGGACCCAGGACGTGGTACCACCTGGCATGTCTTTTCCCTGCAGCCTGGACAGCTTCCGAGCTAAGCGGTGCAGTAATCTGAGTACCTGTGTGCTGGGCACATACACACAGGACCTCAACAAGTTTCACACGTTCCCTCAGACTGCAATTGGGGTCGGAGCCCCTGGCAAGAAAAGGGTCATGGCCAGCAGCTTGGAGAGAGACCACGGCCCTCACATTGGCATGACCCGGGATGCCTACCAATCCCCTCCCTCAGCTTTTTAATTTCCTTTCTTCCTTCCTTCCTATATTGTGGTACGTGTGGTCCTCTCTGGTTGCTGGTATCAGTGGTTTTCTTTGTGGCAGTGGATTTCTGGAACCTCAGATGGGAGGAGAGCAAGATGTTTAGGCCAGATGAGAACCCCCGAGGAAGAGATGGGGGCGCAGCCCTGTGACTCCCCTGAGGAATCGTAGCCCAGATTCTCAGTCCTGCTTGTGAATGTGTTTGTCATTGGGGAATAAAAGTATATTTGTAAGAAGACCTGAGCGGTGGTGGTTATTGCTCTGGCCCACACCACAGGCTTCACAGTCTCAGGGACCTGTGCTTAGAAGTAGCCTTAGCCCCATGGTAGCTGGATCCAGGGCGTAGTGAGTAGTCCTGTGACCAGCCTCAAGTAGCCGGACAGGAGCAGTACGGAGCAGGTAAGCACCTCTGGGACTCAATGCTGGAAAGTCTCTTCCTCTTCCAGGTAAGTCTGAGGAATTTTTCTATTTCTAAGAAGGGATACTGGGTGCCTTTGAGTGGAATGTAGCTTCTAGACAATCCTTGAGTTGGGTCAGTGTGGGGCTATAATTCTGTTTCCTAAGCCTTGCTTGATTTTTAGTTTATTTATACAGGAAAGATAGGCTGTTACAGCTCTGTGTTCCATGGCCACTACCTAGAGCCACTTTGGGCTTTCGGACACACCTGGGAATGTCTGTGGAAGTGATCATGGCATTTTCCCCAGAAGCCTATGTAGTTCTATAGCGATCACTGTGATTAGGGGAAAGATGTACCATTAACAGGTGCCTCTCATTTTCCCATGAATATCCCATGGGGCAGATAGGATCTCTCTCTCTCTCTGACAGCCTCTCACTGACGGGCCCCTTTTCCTCCATCCTGCAAATCAGCATCACTGCCCAGAAGAGCCCCTGCAACAATGCCCCCTGTGTGACCAATCCTCTGGAAGGCTTGCTGGCCAGAGCTGAGCGCATGGTGAAAAACACCTTCATGCCCACCAACGTGGGCCCCGAAGACTTTGGCCGTCACCACAAGGAACTTGGGGCCTGAGCAGTGAAAGGACTCCAGGAAGAAGGTGACTGCCATTCTAGTGTCAGATGGGAGGATGGAAAACCGGGTATTGCGGGGGTGCAATCCACAACTTTAACCCTCTGAGAACCCACATAGTAGAAAAAATCCACAGGGCAATGTGCCCACTCCAGTGTCTGCAGGGAGAACAGGGAGTCCCAGTAGCTGAAACTCCTAGAATTTAGGTTCATTCCCCTCCATTTGACCAGTATCTCCCGTAAAACTGAGATCATTTGCCAGAAAAGACAGACTTGTTTATTTAAATGGCCATCCCCTGCACTTACAACTGTGATTATTCTATCTTTTGACTTTGAAAGGTAATGACATGCTTTGGGTGTAAACACTATAATGTCATGGACATCTGAATTCAGAGACTACTCCTGGGATCACGAACTGAGTTTGCCTTCTACCAGCTGTATGACCACAGGCCAGACATGTTTTCCAAGCCTGTTTCCCCATCTGTGAAACAAGGGCAACAATAGTATCTACTTGCTAGTATTAATATAAAGACTGAATGAGATAATAGATGTCAGTATTTTCACAATTAATAAGTTACTAAATTCTGGCTGTTATTTTTTTTTTCTAGGTCACCATGAAGCGGACTCTTCTTTTAATTTATAATGAATGCAACTTATAGGATAAGGAGCATGGAACACATACATCTGCATGCTTAATATTAAAAACACTCTTGTCTGAAATAAACTAAAGCTAAATAAATATAGAATAAAATCATTGCAATTACCTAGTGTGCATCTTTTTGTATTTGATTGTTCAATAAATATAACAGCATGTCTCACTGGTTTCTCTGGTAGCAAAGATGGGCCCTGTCACCCAACCTGTTGATGTTGGCAATCCTGCGAAAGCTCAGGGGGACGGGGAGTAGCTGCCTGGTGGGTGTCTGGGGGCACATAATAGATACTGTGCCTGCACGGAACTCTTTGAAGAAATGTTGTCACTGGTGAACTTTGTCAAGATAAGACAGGGTTTTCAATACACTTAAGAGGAGTGCTTACTTCTATATATGGTGTTTCTCCCAGGAAAGCCTAGAGACCTCTGAAGGCTTTGTTGAGCAGGCTGACCCATGAAGCAAATGCAACATGCCTGGGATGGGATGGGTCCTCAGCATCCCTTAGCGGGATGAGAACTCTACTCTATACATCTCAAAGACAATTCCCCTTTATTGTCAGAGTTCCCTGGTCCCCACAGATAACAGAGGTTATCTGTGCACTTCCCCTTGACTCAGGTTTGCCATTACCCAGCCCTGCCTTTCCTCCCCATCAGCAGCCCTCATACACCCCAGAGCCTGCAAGCCCTTTAGAAACAATGGCTCAGAGTCTGAGCCATTGTCAGGTGCAATCCGATTCAACTTTTCTTATTCTCTGGGGTGCTGAGAAGAAAAGTATGCTGATGCTCAAAAGCCTGCAATATGTTTAACAGAGACATTCATACTTTAACAAGTACTCATTGAGTGGCTGCTATTTGCCGGACACTATTCCAGGCCCCAGGAATACAGCGATGAACAGAAGGGACAGAAGCCCTGTACTCTAACTGGGGGAGATTAGGGTGATATATGCTGTGGCATCAGAGATGCTCAGTATTGGAAGGAGTCTGGGATGTCCGAGTTGAACACCTTACCGGCTGTAGGAATTTCCCAGCGTCAGCATCCCTGGCTCCTGCTGGGACTGTCAGTGACATGCTGCTGACTGGCTCCCAGGGGGACTGTGCAGCCAGTTTCACTGGTGGATGCTCAGTTAGGTGAAGTCTTGTAGTTGGAAAAGTCACCCCTTCTATGCACTGACACTAGTTATTTCTTCAGGAGCCCCTAGAATTATGACCCTCATTCCCATTCACTCTATACTCCACACTGTCACCCACTTTTGCTGGAAATCACCCAGATGTCTCCTTTATGCAGAAAATACTCCATACTCCACATGCATGGCGTAAACACCTGGGGCATTGCAGCAGCTTCCAAGGTCCACACTGATCTTCCCCCCCCTCCCCTCACCACCAACCCCATGACCTACCTGGCCTCATCTTGGACTTCCCTCTCACACACTGGCCTTCTTGCTAGGCTTCAAACCGCACCCCCAGACACCAACCCCCTCAAGTGTTTCCCCTCACTGTACCTGTTGCAAAATGTCCCCTACCCCATAACCCCATTTCCTCCAGATCTTTACTCAAATGTCATCTATCATGGCTATCCTTTCTGAAATTGTACCTCACCTTGCCAACACACCCTAACCCTCTTGTCTGCCTTATTTTTCTCTCTTTACCACTTACTACCTTCTATTCAAGTATATTATATATTTTTTTTTAATTAGTGTGGTGTTTGTACCCCATTCCATAAAGAGTGTAAGTCCCACATGAACAGGGATATGACTATTCTGTTAATTGCTTAATTCTCAATACACAGAAGAGGATGCCTGGCACAAGGTAGCACTCAAATATTTATTTATTAAATGAATGAATGAATGAATGGAGTTATGTCTTCTTTCTTATGTTATGGTCAACTCTCAAGTCCCCTCTCGGCTTGATTTTCTTCAGGACAAACTGTCCAGGGTCCTTCATCTTCAGCAATTCAGACACCTGGACCATGAGCCCTTCAAATGCCTGGATGCTTCTGCAATGGCCACCAGTGACTCTACCTCCTGCCTCAAGACCTCCACAAGGCCTGCTCTTTGGTTTGAGCACCCTTCTCACCCTACAATTCTCCTCCTCCAGATTCATCTGACCAGCTTTTCTTCCTCCCACGCTGTAAACAAGGCAGCCAGGCAGGGTGCTCTCTAGGAGTGATGCCTGAGACTAGGCAAGTAAGTTCAAATCAGAAGGGGAAATAGCTGAGAAACCATTTTAGTCTGGGATCCAAAGCAACTTCACCAATACCTAAGCTAATACTGCATTGAATTCCCACCAGAACTCTGGATACTTCTCCATTGACTCAGACTCACAGAGTAAGAGTGACTAATGAACCTTCAAACCACGACATATGGTGCACTGGCTCAGAACCCTAAGAAGCTATGTAAGGAGTGGATAAGGAATCAAAGCACAACATGGACAGACAGAAGACTTCTGCTGGGCCACAGCATCAGTCCTGACAACTCAACACCACTGGGCCATTGTAGCAGAAGAATGCCCTTTAGTATCATTAAGACTCATGGCAAACACTCAGAGCTTGAGATTATATGCTGTGGCTGATTGAATTATTGCTCCCAAGTCTTCACTATGCATGGTAGTATTATATATGCTTAGTCTTGCCATGGCCACATGGTAGGTGAAATGGACATCCTGCCCCTTGATGTTGGGCTTAGCCCAGTGGCTTGATTAGGCTGATGTGATGTTGGTAGACATGGAAAACTGAGGCTTGAAATGTGTTTATGTGTTTGGGTTTTGTGCTCTTGTGATACTGCCATCACCTTGAAAAGTACATGCTTAGGTGTCCTTTACCCTTTCAGCCTGGACTCCAAAACGAGGCCTGTGGTCCTACACCTGACCTGCAGTCTAGATCCACATGCAGCCAACACCAGCTGAGATCATCCTCATCCCTACTACATGCCCATGACCAAGAAAAATAAGTACTTGCTTTTGAAAGCCACGAGGATCTCGAGGTTGTTTATATGTGCTATATCTTGGCAAAAGCTAACTGGTATATATGATTTGGAAGTGTTATAAAGTGACTGTGTACCCCCACAAACCATGTTGACGCTCTAACCCCCAATGTGACTGTGTTTGGAGATAGGGCCTTAGGGAGCAGTTAAGATTAAGTGAGGTCCTTGATGTAATGTATGGTGATTAACACAACATAATAATAAAAAAAAGATTAAGTGCGATACTAAGGATAGGGTCCTGATCTGGTAGGACTGCTGCCCTTATAAAAACAGGGAGAGATACCAGAGATGTGTCTCTTTCCCTCTCCATGCACACACAGAGAAGGGGCCTGGTGGGGACACAGTGAGTAGACGGCCATGTGTAAGATTGAAAGTGAGACTTGACCACACAGCAACGCTGATGGGACTTTGATGTTGCAATTCCAGCATCCAGGACCGAGAGCAGTACCTTTCTGTTGTTAAGCCATCCAGCCTGTGCTATTCTGTAATGATTGCCAGAGCAGACTGATACAGGGGTCATTAGGTGGTGAAATTATTGCTGGTACCACAGCTTGTTTTTCCTCTTATTGAGATTTTGGGCTTTATG